AGAGAGAGAGAGAGAGAGAGAGAGAGAGAGAGAGAGAGAGAGAGAGAGAGAGAGAGAGGGAAGAGAGAGAGAGAGAGAGAGAGAGAGAGAGAGAGAGAGAGAGAGAGAGAGAGAGAGGTGAAAGATACTGAAATTTGAGAGAGACAGGATAAACGGCGGTGGAGGATGAAGAGAGAAGGGAACGAGAGTTGAGATATCTAGGGTTTTAAATTGTAACTAAAGGGTAAAATAGGTATTTCAATTTGTCTAGGGGGGTCTATCAAATTAAGTTTAGAATTTGGGTTTTTGACTAGGGAAAAAAAATTCTTAGGACCTATTCATATATATTTTCAAAACTAGGGGGTTATCCCACATTTCCCCTTAGAAAATATAAGCATACTAGGATTTGGATGGGAATAATGAAATGACTCAAATGCACTTAAAGTGTCCCGATAAATGGCAACTCTGATCTGGAACAAAGTGCAATTGAAGGGGGAAATCAGAAAATTGAAAATTTCTAGGGGGTGAAGTTCATATTCTTCTTAAAAAAAAAAAAAAAAATCAAAATCTCTGAATGTCCTTGGAACAATACTTGCACCAATTTCTTGAATTTCCATTGGTCAATTTTTACAAACCCTTTCAAATTGGAAAAACTTGTATAAACATTTTTCATGTGTTTGTACTTTTTTCTTTTTATTATAGATTTGAAAAATGTTTAAATTATTCCAATTGTATATGTGCTGCAGGCAAAAACTTTCTATTAGCTTGATAAAAGCTCATGAGAGAACAATTCACACATCTCATTATATATAGTTGCAGAGAAGTTTTCCGATTTCAATACCGTCCCTGCGCGTAAACTTTCGTGTAGAAAAACTCGACACCAATTAATTGAAGCAACCAACTATTTACGAGGCAAAGAAAGCAAAATATATAGTCACTTAGCAAACGATATTCTAACGAACCCCGTTCGTTTCATATTCGTTTTTCTTGCTTATGGATCTTTACTTTTTCATATTCCAACGTTCTAGAAGTTGTGGAGTCGAATGAAATAATCCCTGCAAAAATCGCAAGTATACTATGTTTTTACCCACAATTAAAAAAAAAATTAAAGTAGTTGTTTCGGTTTCGGTTATGTATACTACTTTTGAGTGGACAGAGTTTTGTCAGTTCCGGTAAAAAAAAAAATACTCCGGACATTTGACTTGGGGCAAAGTGCAAGAAAAATATATTTTGCAAGGAGGAATGTACTTTTTAAAAATTTCTAGGGGGCGAAGTGCAATTTGTCCTCTCACATAGTTTCTCTCCATTTCAGTACGAAGCGACATCGACTTTCTCTATGGTTCACAAGATATTCCGACAAAGGTGCTTTACGCCACGCTTCTTCTTTTTCGTCGTACTTCCCCTTAATTTCCAAGTTTGCTCCCTCCAAATCTCGAAACAACAACCGTGTGAGCTCGTTTTCGTTTCCACTTTCTCTCTCCATCAGAATCTTCCACATATACCCGACGAATTCTACCTCCCATTCCCCAAGGTAGTTACCGATTTTCCTTGGACGACAAATACTAAATGCACCATTTACGAGAGTCGAAAAATAAGATAAAGGGAAACTCAAGTTCAATGTCTCCACAAAAACCGGCTTGTTACGGCCGTAGTCGTGTACCGTATTAATCTTTTCTTGAATTATGTCCACTTTGAATATGGAGCGTGGTTTATGATATATACTCAGAGAAATTTTCGATCGGCTTAACGACTTGAGCAGTTCGTCTAGCTTGAGGAACCACAAAGAAGTGCCGCCGTCATTTGCAGTAGGCGTAATAATATATGTTACGTGTATCTCCGACTTCCACTCCCGCACGGAATTTGTCGCAAACGAAACCGACGGGACAAAGTCTCCTCTGTATTCAAAATAGAGCATGTTCGGGGCGTCAATAAATATCCGGGATTCTTTCGGTTCGTCGCAATACAAAAGAGCCAAGCTTTTGAGCCTCGGGAATTTACAAAACGACAAGCTGTCCAACGACGATCGCACGCCTCGCAGATGTAAATCGTCGAGATTACGAAAGTTGGCTTCTTTGTGGAACCAAACATTGCCGTAACTAACGTTGATGGTTTCGAGAGATAAGGGATGGATTTCGATCCGACAAAGTTCATCGGTACTAAATAATACTTCCTTAAAAGTAAAGTACTTGAGATTGCGAAGATCGTTCATCTTAATTGTTCTTAGCCCAATACCTAATCCATCAACGCACAGAGTTTCAATCAACGGGAAGCCTGCGATCATTGTCTGAAAAATGTTGTCGTCGACCGCGACATCTAGGAGATGAAGTGATCGTAGATTCTTGCAGAGTGCTATCTTTCCAATAGCATTTTCGTCCAACACAATTTTTTTCAAACTCAAATGTCTGAGTGATTCGGCTTCGAAAACTACGGAGGGCAGATGATCGATAGAACCGTATTCCGAACGAATAGAAAGACGAGACTCCTTTACGCCCATAGTTGTGAGCATTGGCATCCATTTCTCGAGAAGCGAAACCGATTCGTGTTCCCGATCGTGTAGCGATATACGAAGGTGGAATTCATCCAAGCACACCCTTTGATCACAATACTGCTGCAAAGCATTGTCCACAACCGATAGAAATTCTTGTTTTTGCCCTTTGAAGGTGGCGTCTGAAAAATCAAGATTGGTGCGAGTACACCACGTGTAACGCCATGATTTGGACAAGACAGATGTTCGAACAACCTCTTCTTGGGACAGGAAATACAGTATTCTCTGCAAGATTCCTTCCGGCAAATCGAATATTCTGTCCATGGAGGCTGGCTGAATACCTAAGATTTTTCACCCTCTAATGAAACCCTAAATTTCTTTTTTTGACTTAATGAACTCAAAAGTTAGTATTTAATTTTTTTTTAAACGAAAGTTAGTATTTGGATGGCAATTGGTTATAAATACTATTTTATCTATTTTTATTTTTTATTTTTTTCTTTTTATCCAAGATTTTGAAAACCGATCGGACATTGGCCCAGACAAGCTAACGGAGCACGGGGTCCAACTGGTTTTTTTTTTTTTTTTATATTATTTATACACAACTTTTACGGTAAATAATATATTCTTTCACACATTAAAAATATAAATCAAACTTATTTTCTTTTACACACAACATATCAAAACACACGTATCACACCGAATCATTTCAAATATTATAGAAATTATAACAAAAAATAACATTTCTTCCAATTTCAAAAAAAAATGTTGTTGATTTTTTTTTCAACTGGGCAATAAAAAACGTCATTTTGGCCATTTTATTTTTATTAAAAAAAACACAATTTTAGGCCAAAAAACCAAATCCTGATTTTCACTCGAGTTCTGATACTACAACCGGTCAAACCGAACCAGACAAGGCAATGGTTCGTGGTTTAACGATTCAACCGGCTGGTTCGGATTTCGAAACACTGCTTGTAACAATTTACTTGAAACTCTCAAAGAAAAATAGAATCGTCACAAAACGATATTTACTTTAACTAATACAATAAATAAAACCATAAAAGTTTTTATGAATTTACAAGCACATTGAGTTTTATTTATTTTTCTTTTTCAATTTATAAATAAAACAAACATCATAATTGATTTCTATAAGGAATACCATATATGTTGTTAATCAGAATATGATAAACTGTCGATTGATTTTGTATTTGTTAAGCAAATGCTAATAGTAAATCTTGTTTCTGAACTTCGCCTCTTTTTTCGATTTTCTCCTTATTTCCGAATTTTCCCCGAGACTCAACTCTCAGTATCTCCAGCAATATTATTATGTTAAAACCCAAAAAATTGCTTCACGTTCAAAGCTCGCATAATAGTTTTTTGCTTGAATGAAAAATTGAAGAACAGAGACAAGGCGAAAAGTGTTTATCGTGTTTCAACCAATAGTTATATGATGACTAGAGATCAACTGCAAGATTAAAAGCCGAAAAATTGCTTCATGTGTTTCAGTTCCACCTTCAGAACACAGGATTCGTAGTGAAACCTCGGGCAACTGCAAGATTAACTGTATCCAAATGTAAAACACGAGTTTCCATTAGTTGCATGTAAATATTAACAACCACCGGCAAAACGGCGAGAAAAACGAAGAAAAACTTGTGAAAACATAAAACAGAGGAGAAAACTAACACGAAGTGATGATCCTTTTCATGTGAGATTATTAGCACTTACAGGCCAATTTCACATGTTAAGTGTTTCGTTAAGCGAACAGTCGGACATTGAATTAGATGGATGTAGTTTATCAGAATTTTCGGAGGCTGATTATTAAATAGAAAACATCTCTCCCAAAACATGAAGTGACAACAAACATCTTATTATACCAAATACAGAAATCATGGAAGGCCAAATCAACGAAAGTAGACGACAGAAAAAAAAGTCTCAAAATAATAAAATCTGGACAACTGTATGCAAGTGACATGTGTGTTTGCAAGTGATTCGTGTGAGTTTAGTAAATTATTTATATATTGTTTGAGAATTTAATATATTAACATTAAAATTATTTCAAACCTTCAAGGATCAAAATTGACAAATTTCGGCGAAGAGAAAAAAGCTGAATCACACAACTTTCTTGAAAAGGAAACAAAGAGGAATGGTATTAAAGTAATGATAGGAACATGAAGAGCATAGTTAGTATATCGAATCCCTTAATTGTGACATCAATCATATTTTGCCTAATTGACCATAGCTAATTTATATTTTAACTTAGTGACAGGGGTTAGATGCACATTACGTAAAACGAAAGGACAAAAAACAGAAAACAATCATGCTTTCAAAGGTAGGATATAATAGGCAGATAGAGTACCTTTTTTATTCATTTGTATTACGAACTAGATAAAAGACATAAAGTTAAGCCAAAAATAGGTAGAAACGAGAGTTCTTACATTGAATATTCTACTTTGAACCTTTATCTTTGGCTTCATCTGCGACAGCATCAGTCACAAGGGCCATTGGTCTCTCGTCCATGATTTCATCTATAATCCCAAATTCCTTTGCCTCTTGAGGAGTCATGAAATAATCACGATCCATATTCTTCTCGATTACTTCAAGAGACTGTCCAGTGTGCTTACAGTAAAGTCCATTCAGTGAGTCCCAAATACGAATAATCTCTTTAGTGTGGATACTTATATCCTTTGCCTGTCCACTGTACCCACCCGAAGGCTGGTGAATCATAATCGTAGCATTGGGGAGGGACCGCCTCTCTCCCTTTGCACCAGCAGACAATAGGAGAGAAGCCATTGATGCAGCTTGACCTAAACATATAGTGTTAATTGGGGAGCGGATATACTGCATCGTGTCGTAGATAGCAAGACCTGCATAAAAGAGTATTCAGTTAAATAACAACAAAAGACAAATCTAGAATGTAGTGCATTTACACTTCAAGAAATACTTAACAAAGAACTAGAAAAACTTGACACTCTCTCTCCCAAAATTTTATAAAATCTCAAGAATGGGAAATTGAGATCTCAAACATACATAGAATTTATATTTTGATTGCCTATCGGGAATTACATAATTCTTGATGAAAATTACAGAAAAAGCAAAGAAAAATCTTAAAACTTAGTTGTAAGAAATCATATCAGCATCTTCATTACCCAAAAAACTAGGCTACAAAATCACTTTTAGTGGGAACTGGGGAGAGTGCTTTTCTTCAGTTATTCACATGCTCAACTAAAGCTGGAAATTTTCAAGATTATCTATTTTTATTCACATCCGCAAAGTTCCGTTTAATTCCAAAATAAAACATGCAGTAATGATGAAAGTGAGCAAAATACGGCGGAAACTTCAAACAACCAAATAAAGCTCACAACCATGTCATATTGTACACAGAGTGAACGAGTTTTTTCTTTATTTCAGGTTTCGTGTCGAGGATTACATTCTTGTGCAGGCAGATTTTCTGCACTTCATTAAATGATTTCTGAAATTCATTGATAGAGAACATACATGCAAAAAAAAAAAACAGTCTTTAAATTTTGGACCCATAAATTATGCTCACAGAGCTGGACTTGGGTTAATAATCTATTCAAAATTTGAATACGAACTAAATATAATTCCATAAAATACTTCAATTCCTAAAAAAATCGAACAATTTGTCCACGTAATTCGTCCTTGCATCTCCTTCGACCGTTACATAAACACATTACAAAATTAAATTAAGACAACAAAACAAAAAACATTATAATGGGGGGATGAATTAAAAAATAAAAAAAATACCAGCAGTAACAGCGCCGCCGGGAGAATTGAGATACATGTGAATGGGCTTCGACGGATTCTCCGACTCGAGAAAGAGGAGCTGCGCAACAACAACGTGAGCAGTGTCATCAGAAATCGGACCGTTGATGCAAATGATCCTCTCCTTCAGCAGCCTCGAGAATATATCGTAAGCACGCTCCCCCCTCGAGGAGTGCTCGATCACCATCGGAATCAGCCCGTAGTACCTTCTTCCACAGCCGCCGACGCCGCCGCCGCCAACAGCAGAAGAAGCTCTTGCATTCGGGGATATGGAGGCGCCGATTTCGCGCCATAGATTCCGAGATAACAAGCTCCTCATCATTTTTCGATTCTAGGGCTTTTGTATTTCAGTCGCTGAGGAATTGAATTTTTGCAGGGAAAAGGGGGAAATCCGATTAGATGATAATGCAATATTGTGTGAGCGAAGGGGCATTTACGGAAGTTCATGTGATAAAATTTTGGGCTGCCCAGTTAAATCATGACTTTAGGCCCGTTGGTATAATAATAAAAAAATCCATTTAGTAGCCCATTTTAGAAACAAACGACTATCCATTGGTATCCAGGAAACTGAAATGAAATTTTCGATTTCCGCCGATTCCGATTCGAAAATAGTTATCAAATTAGAACTTCAATTTTTTTAATTCCTGATTTTTTCCAATTTTTGTTTTTTGAAATGGAATTGGAATATATATGAGATTACGATTTCTGGTCCGATTTCAATTTTTTTTTAAATAATTACAAAAAATCAGTTGTAAAAAAAAATGCACTTACAACATGGAACGAAGTTATTATTAAGTATTTTGTATATTAGGTTATCTAGAAATTGGACTTTTATAATTTTCATTGATTCCGGTTCAAAAAAATTTAATTTTTGAACAAGTTTTTTTATTGCAATTTTCAAAATTCCGATTTTCAATTTTTTATATTCTTTTGGAATGAAATTAGAATTAATTTGTCACTTCCAAAAAAAATCAATTTTTTTCCCGAAAATGAAATGTTATCCCGACCTAAACAAGACTAGGCTAACCATGTTTGATAAGTTCGATCTAGCGACCGTTGGTAATGAGATTCGAACCTAGACCACACTAGACTAACTAACCATGTGTGACAAACTCGACCTACCGACTGTTAGCAATAAAATTCAGACCTGGGTCAATTGACACAGACCCACTTACTGCAACCGCTGAGTCATCCAATGTATGAAATATTATTATGGTGGATACCGCATCAAGATGT